ATTCTTTCCTGTCACTTTACTCTCTTGGGGTACAGCAGTGAAAAGTCCTTGTGGGTGTCAGAAATTATGTTTCTTTTATGTTTTTCAAGCCAAATATCTCCTTCAAAATGTCAAGTAAAGCCCTTCATAGACAGTCACGTTCGCTCTGGCTTTTCTCCAATACATCTGTTTTATTTGATTGTAGGTGTTGACAGGCTGGATAAAGATCTAACAATTGGACAGATGCAAGGTAAATATTTAATATTGTTACTTGATCCTTACTGTAATGATCTTTTTGGATGATAGCTTGTTGCTGTGGATAGGCAAACAAGAGATAGCTGGAATGGCCTCTTACCAGGTGCAGTCTATATCGAAACAAATGTGCATTAAAGAATTAATCCATCCCCAAGTGTTCTCTAACAGTCTGTGGTTGTAGAAAAGGTGGAGAAGTTGAGAAGGGAAAGGTTGAATTAGAAGTTCTGAAGGGTTGTTGCCATGGTGTTTGTTCAGTGTTTTCAACTATGGGGCTGCCACACTTCTCTTGGATCAGAATAATTGTCTGTGAGAGTTTCTTTCTAATCTGTTTTTCCCTTTCTAATTACATTCCCCATGTTCCTCGTTAGAACACTTGGGACCATCCAAAACTGTCTGGTCTCTCCATATTTAGAGTCATAGAATCATAGTGGCTGGAAAAGATCTTTAAGATCATCAAGTCCAACCATAAACCTGACACTACCAATTCCACCTCTAACCCATGTCCCTCAGCACCTCGTCTACTCGTCTGTTAAATCCCACCAGGGATGGTGACTCCACCACCTCCCTGGGCAGCCTGTTCCAATGCTTGACCACACTTTGGGTGAAGAAGTTTTTCCTCACATCCAATCTAAACCTCCCCTGGTGCAATTTGAGGCCATTTCCTCTTGTCCTGTCCCTTGGGCCTTGGTTGAACAGACCCACCCCCACCTCTCTCCACCCTCCTCCAAGGGACTTGCACAGAGCCACATGGTCTCCCCTCAGCCTCCTTTTCTCCAGGATCAACAACCCCAGCTCTGGCAGACATTAGACCAAGATTCAGAGATCCTTTTTAAAAGAATTCATAAATTCACAGCACTTTTAAGGACGTAGTATCTGATGTTTACTGTGTATGCAAGAACTGCTTACCTAAACCAGTGGTGTTAGTAATCTAGATCACTTAAAAAGCAGCTCCAGTGATGACTCTTTTGATCCCCAGGCAAGTTTCAGATGCAGGTCCTCCCACAGTGTGGCCATGCAGTCCATGAAGATGCTCCAGACAAGGTGAGCCCCAGGGTGGGGTTGAAGCTAGATAAGTCTTGGTCTTCACAGCTTAAATGTGAAAGGGATCCGTTGCTTGCTGTGAAGCAGAGATTATATTTCAGGGGTGGTTTTTTTGGCACAACATCTTAACTGGTTATTTGCAAGACAGCTTGGATTTAATCACTTTTTTTTTAAGCTGGCTGGAAAGTCTGAGCTAAGATGTTACATGACACAGGGCTTGGCTGGGTTACAGCTTTAACTCTCGAGCTAGTGGTGATACAACTAACTCTTACCATGTGGAGCCTGGATTTATCCTCCCTGCTTTTCCTCATGAAGTTCTTCACTCTCCCATGTATTAAACCGCAGCTTTTGGTGCTGCTCTCTATTTTTCTGAGTTGGGTGGCTCACATTTTCCAAATACTAAACAAATATTACTGAAACAGCTTCCAGACTGACAGAGCAGTGCAGCTTCTGAGTACTGCTGAAGTTAGGGTCCAGATAGAAGCAGGAATGTGGTGCAACCAGCAGAACCTGTGGTTGGAAACACATCTGGTTTTAAAGCTTGTTCTACACTAACCACTGTGAATGTAAAACTCAGCCTTTCTGTGCTTCACTCTACCAATCTGAAATAGGGAATTTTATCTAAACCTACTGAGTTCTTACATTGTTCTTTCTTTTTAATATAGATTCTAAGCAGTATTATTATTGTCAGGTTACTGTCTTGATTTATTCTTTATAGGAATAACTTTCAGACCTTTTTTTTACCTGCTAAACTTAGGCATTGTTTTAAGAATTAATGAAAAAGGTCGTGAAAAAGTTTTGTCAGTTCTTGATTGTGTGGTCAGTGTCAGAGCAAAGGTAGAAGCTTGGAGTTCCTTCTCCAAGAAGCTCTTACTTTTAAAGACTTACAGAGCTCTTACTTTTAAAGGAGCAAAGTTGATTCAGCAAGAGGCTCCTGAGGGAACAAGATGTTGCTGGAAATGCTTCAGGCTTTGAAAACTACTGGATTTCTTCTTATCTTCATATCCTTTTAAATTCTGACTGATTTTTTTTTCCTTCCCCCTTAGGTTGCTGAGGCTGTTGCGACGTTCTTGATCCGTCACAGGTTTACAGAGCCCATCGGTGGATTCCAGTGGTAAGGCTCTGCGGGTGCTAAGAGCTGTGCAGTCCTCAAGCAGAGCTCTTGCTCCTACTCCCTGTGTGTTTGGCTGTCAGGGAGGGAGGCTGGAGTTTTAGCATAATGCTAAAAACCACGTGTAAACCAACAGCTTTGACTCACAGGCAGTGATATATTTGATGTTTATGTGCTCTTTCTAAACTTCTCGTGTATTAATTTCTTGTTAATCACATAATCACAGAATGTCAGGGATTGG